GGGAACAATTTGCTCTGCCCCTAGAAGAACACCAGCTACACAAACTAAAGGGAAACACATCACTTGCACCACAAAGTATCTCAAACAGCCAGTGTCTCAAACACCAAAGTACTGCCTCATTGTCTCATCCCACTTTGTCCCCTAATAGACCATGCCTGAGATCCATTCCCACATCCATTCCTGATGTCCTTCCTGCCAGATTGCTTGCTGCTTATTTATAATGATTATTACCATGTCAGGCACTTTGAGAAACACTTAACATGGATTATCTCATTTAATCCTTAAAATATTCCTATGAGGTAATGACTCTTTATTATCCCCACTTTAAAAGTGTGAGTCTGAAATTTAGAGAGGTTAAGTAATATGCTGAAAGTCATAGCTCAAAGCTGTGATTTGAACCTGAAGCTCCCAATGCCAGGTTCAGTTGTATAATTATGAGATGATGTTGCCACTCTAAATGAGCTGCTCTTCCATGTATCAATGTGTTTATTCTGCTTATCAGAGAGAGAGATAGAAAGAGGAAGAAATTTTTAAAGAATAGGTTCATGCAACTGTGGGGGCTAGCAAGTCTGAAATGTGCAGTGCAGGACAGAGGGCTAGAAATTCCAGCAGGAGTCAGTTCCATAGTCTTGAGTCTGGAGGCAGAATTCCTTCCTCTTTGGCGAACCTCAGTCTTTTCCCTTATGGCCTTCAACTGATTGGATGCGGCTCACCCACATTCTGAAGGGTAATCTGCTTTACCTGAAGCCTACTGACTTAAATGTTATTCACTTCTAAAAAATGCCTTCACAGCAACATCTACATGGCTGTTTGACCAAGCAACTGGGTACCATAGCCTAATCAAGCCGACAAATACAATTAACCATCACGTTATGTAAAATACAAAACTATAGAAATGTAGGCATCTTAGATTTTATAGTCCAATTTCCTTATTTTTGCAAATAAAGAATCAGGTCAGAGAGGATATGCACTCAATTTATCTGTTATAAATTGCTCACTAAAATTAAGTGGGAATTAAATCCTTCCAAAACACCAATTATTTCTATTTTGAAGACTTGATTAGAACAACTCATCAAGCAGTCAGTTCATTTTATTATGTCTACCCAGCACCATGGATGTTGGGACCACCTTCAGAGCAGGTTGCGGGGGGGGGGGGGGGGGGGGGGGGGGGGCTGGAAAAAAGTGAAAAAATTTTCCCGGAAAAAAAAATTTTTTTTCAGGGGCCCTCCTGGTCCCCCTCCCCCCACCCCCAAACAATACTTTAGGGTCCCTCTT